TCTTTTTGATAAAATATTAACGTTTGTTAAGCAAGTTTGATGAGTACAAGCAATACAAGGTCGCAGAACTGATAGCTGATCAATTTATTATCTCGAAACTCTCATAATTAGATGGCATGCTTAGTTGTTGATCCTGGCTACATCTGGTTATGGTCTCATGATTATTATTAAATCATAATAAATAGCTGTATAAATGGTTATTATTATTATTAAAATATATATATTTTAATTTAACAGATTTTACATTTTTCTGTATAAATGTTATTGTAAAATATTTTTCTTATATTCCTACACTTGATTTTAACACACATGCATGTAAGCGAAATTATGAAAAAAAAATTAGAAACTATACCTATTAGGATATTTGGGAAAATATGTTTTTTTTTACTGAAAAGAACTGTATTAAAAAAAAATATGCAATTCCATATTATGCTATCGTACATGTCGCGTGGAGCGAGCAAGACGGATAACCCGCAGTTACCGTTGTCTCGCGTTAAGGGATTTTTTATTGTTGCCCGCAAATTGTGTCGGCAACCCTGCCTCTTGCATACTTTATGCGAGTATGATGTGCAACCCTAGTGACGAGGTGTACTTCGAGCGTCGAATCCGGTTGTTATATTTCTTTGTAAGAATAATTTTAACTAGATGGTTTGTTTTGTTTAAAATGCGACCTTTGATCGTTTAAAAACTAAAAAGTCTTTTGTTTTATCTATACTAGTATTAAAAGAGGAAAGACTTGATAGTTTATTTGCATTGAATTTGAATTGGTTCCAAACTACAGGACCGATTTCAAAAATTCTTTCTTTACTGCATAATATATATATAAGTGACAAGGACAAACTCGTAGTAACACAGTGGGTCAGTTATATTTGGAACTTGACAAAATTCGTATCTGATGTCATTTCATTTATAGTAAAAATAATGTATTAGAAATCAATCAAATCAAAATCATTTATTTTCATGTTCAATTTTCACCGATATAAGTCCAAAAACATAGAAATTTAACACAAAACTTTTTACCCTTTTTAGCCCTCTTCGGGTTAGAGTTTCCAAAAATACGTTCTTACACCATTACGTGATAAAAGGAATGTACCCTCCAAATTTCTAGTCTTCACAACCAGCGGTTTAAGCTGTGAATTGCCTGCCAGTCAGTATCTCGGGATATCTCCTTTTATATATGTACAGATAACACTGTTTGTTTTGTTGCATTTTATTAATATCTATAAGTAGATTTAGCCTTTGTGTTACTTTTAAGTTTAAAACTGAATTTGCCAAATTAACATTTACATCAGTAAAATTACTAAAAACAAAAATTACTGTGTTACATCAAATATAACAGAACTTGTAGATTAAAATAATCTGAGTCAGATACATATAATCTTCTTTCATATTACTTTTTCATCGTCAATCCGTATAAATTCTAAAAGTCCAATCATATTTACCATCAATTAATCCTGTACGGTTGACAGAAAAAATCCCACTGGCAACTAAGTTTCATTTGATAGAAGCCATTTTGAAAATGAGTGCAATTACTTTCTCATTTGGCTACTTTCTTTTAATACACTCATCAAAGGTAAATTTTTGATCGATTCGAAGAGGGGAAATCAAAGAAAAGTTTCTAATGTAAAAGAATGAACTTCTTACATTTAGGAATCCTTGGGAATTAGGTAATCGTTTGATTTTATTTGTTAAGTTGAAACTGAAATTCAAATATTTGCTGTTGACTAATCCCGATCCATCCGCCCCCTCTTTAATATAGATTAAAAGATATTTATATTATTGTTAATATTTATTTAATTAAAAATTAGGTACCTATATATTGACCTATATTGATACTGATTATATTTAATAACTTTTATTAGCTTACATGAGAAAATGTAACTAATTGTTCGTTCAATACAGACAGAACCCTCGCAGAAAAAAATCAATTCTGCTAAGATACATTTTTTTTTACAAGCATGATATCGTCAGATGGGCGCGACGGCGTTTCGATATCGAAGCTGTGATTTTTAAGAAAATTACTTTTTAAATTTCTCGTCCTATACAGTGTGTTTAAATTAAGTACCGAGAAAATGATCGTCAATTTTTATATGGCGGTTTTGCAAACATGAATGAACACGTGTATAATTGTAAAAAAAATGTTCAGTGTCTATTTTAAATTTCTTTTTAATACTCGTAAATTGTATTGAGGTTCTTATTACCTTATTTTGTAGAAATGTGAAGCTATTATGAATGTTGTTTGTTGCACTGTTAACATTAGAATCCTTAAATAGAAAAGTTGTTCTTTTTTTTTATTTTATTCAATTACATTGGTTTCTAATTTTTTGTTATAGTATTGGATAGTAATTCATCCATCTGTCTATAAATTTTAATTATTCAGTTATTTTTTGTTTACACATTATATACTACCTATTGTTGTCAATAGTAAAATTGCATCCTGTATAGTGTCAAAAATGCGGCGTCAACCCCTTGGCATCCATTTTAATGACGTCACCTCTGCTCCAGACAACCCTTGAGGGATGTATACTTATATCCCTGTTGTTTTTGTAGCAAATCTTGGAGGCGTCGTTGAGTTTGTCGTCAACAAAGGGCGATAAAGAAAATAGCATTACAAATTTAGAATTAGTGACATTGAATGTTTGATAATTATTGTTCTTTGAAACATACAGTTAATTTTTTTTCAATAGACATTGAAGCCTGTGTACGTATAAAGAGGACCTCATTTATAAATTGCACGTAGCCACATGCTTAATTAAATTAATAAATAAAACTCGATGCATTTTTACGATTTAGTAATTAAGGTAGTCTAAATTATTTAGCAGTTTACCTATAGGATACTACGAAATACTGAATTAAAAAACAAGCGGAATTTTAGTTTAATCGTCGTTCATCGCAGGTGAAATACCTGCGATGAACGACGATTAAACTAAGAAATAAAAAAAAAGATAAGGAAATGAATATTTTTTTAATATTCTGTTACTATCTATAGAATCCTTTGAAAACCTAGTCCATCTAGTATTCCAAAAAGGTCTTATTACATTCATTAAACCAACAAGAAATGAAAACATTCTAAATTTAAATTATTTAACAGATTGACAATAGTTCCCGCTAGTAACAAACACCATATTAGGTTTAATTACTCACATTAATCGAAGCAACAAAAAATAAAAACATTCCAAATTTAAAAAATTGAACATATATTGACAATAGTTCCCTCTAATTGCGATGTTAGAATTACGTTCGCATCATTCGAATCGGAATAATCGAATCGATTTCGAAACATCGAGCGGTAGCCGATTGCTCTATTAGTTCACCCTAGTTCGTTCCCCTCGGTAATACGTTTACTAGTTAATCTATTGTTTTAGTTGATAAAGTGATTCTATTTTTCAGTTCAATATAACAAAGTTGTTTTCTAAATAAATTTCTAAGTTTTTAAAAGTCGTCATCGTTATATTCAGCTGATCAGTATCGCCATACACTGTTGAAGTCTCCTGCCGGAAGCAAATAGGGAAAAATGGCCAAAACTCACCACACTGGCCCAGCACAGATCGATGGATATTGACGACTGCATGCAGCCGGGACGAACGGCTTAGGATGACGTGTTAATTAAAATAACTTACTTTTAATCATGTAATAACATAAGTGAGATGGCACGAGAAGAGCGAGAGTCCGGGAGGAGAGGCGTCACATTGTGAAGCAGGCCACTAATGCTGAATAGTGTAGCGCCTAAGAAGAAGAATAACATAAGAAAATTAAACCAATACCTTTGCTACTACAACAAAATGTTAAAAAATAATTGGTAAATTTTCATTGCTTTCATTAAGTTCAAAATTACCGCGGCAACAGGACAAATAAAAAAAATGGCAAGTTTATTTCGTTCGTACCACACGTGCATGTTAATACGACCGACTGTCACAAAACCGAGAGCGTACTGAATTTTTCATGGCAAAGCCACGGTTAAGACGTTATGATGTGAAAGAAGCTACTATTCCCTTTGTACACGTTACCTTAAAACGCAAGAGGAAACGCAAACCGCATTCCATTTGAGGAAGACTGTCGTGTCGACATTCATGTGTCTAAAAAACAAACGGGTGCCAATTGAAAATCAGCGTCAGACTTACCAACCGTAAGCTGAATTGCTTCTTAACAAATCACAACACATTAACATACAGTTGCGTAAATGTTCTAAATTTGAAAATTATTCGATAATCCTTTAAAACAGTGGTACAAACGCCCATTGAAATTGACATAAATTTAAAGCGATATTACCGATACAATTTTTTTAATTTACACATTTACAATTGGAGCATAATGTCGTCCTTAAACTTTGGTCTTAACTAATGCCAATTCTAATGGACGTTAGTGCAACTGGGTATGAAAGTGTTGAATGAGTACTAGTTGAATAGTATCTTTTCCCACAAGTGGTTCTATAACGTCATTAATTGTAACTATAATAACGTACTGATTAATCATGTACCACATTGTTTAGTGCCAAGAGATACTAATCATGAACTATTATTAGATATTGGCAGTAGCGGTGACAATACTTATTAATTGTGCAATCATTATGTTAACGCGTGAAGCAAAAACATTGGACCCGTTTTAGCGAAACTTATGTGGACGGTTGAGTGTGAGGCATTGTGTTAAATAAAAAAAATGATAGTACAACAAGTAAGAATGTATCTCTTTCAATAATTCATAATTTTTTCTTACCGTGTCTTTTACCATGAAAATCTGTTTGGTACGTAGTTTGGAATTTATCACGTTCAAACTGGGAGATATGCAACGCGAGGCACTTTGTTGTGTATCATAAATTTTTCCTATATGGGAAAAACGAGATTCACGTGCTTTTTGAAATAATGTCTTCGAGGGTGGTCAATTTTTAGTCACCCACCCTACGACTGAATTCTGCGAGTTTAAGATCCGTAATCGCAGACGCAATGAGCCATTACTTAATATCATAAGTGAAATCTTATTTTTTCTTTTAATTTTTTACCTAGGGATAGAAGAGGGATGCTGGACGCGGCGGCTCTCCAAGCGTTAGCCGGAGAAAGCGTCCTGGAGAAAGAGAGACAGCTGTCAGAGATGATACTCCAGCTGCAGATGGTGAGGGAACAACTGCTGGCGCAGCAGGAACACGCTAAGGTATGGAGAAAATACTATAATTTCAGCTATAAATATGATATTAATGGATGTCACATCATATCATTATCAAATTTGCGCATTAAATAGTGACAGACGTTGAACTGTTCAAAACATCGTATACCTACACTTTAGTCTTAAAACTCAACAGCTGAGGTGTTCTATATTTTTAATAATGTTCAGAAATTTTTATTATTATGTTATGAAATCATGATAATTCGACAATATCGAAATAAAAATTAAGTCAAGTTCCTTCAACAAACCGTCTTATTAACGTTGTGACAACATCTTCTATCTATGCGGGGTCACGGCGCATAGGGACTGAATGATGGCGGTCTGTTCCCAACATAGACTTTACTATTGCACTCGTATTATTGTTCCAAACAAAAATGGTATTGACAGATTGATTAAATTGACGATTGTTTCTCGATTACCTTTATGTAGTTACATATATTTAATGCAATCACATTAGAGTTTTCATGAGCGGAATTATTTCAATGTAATTCACTTATACGATAGTTACGCACTATAAGTGAATTGAAAAAATAAATCTGAAAGCTATTGCTAGTAAAGATTGATGAAGTATCGATATGGTTCTTCAAAATAACTTTACTCAACAATGAATTAAAAAATGATTTGATGTTATTGCAAAATAAATATTAAACTAAACATTGATTATTTCTATAGAGCCTTATGTATACGAACGTTGATGAAAATTGTAATGTACGAAACGGTTACCGCCCAAGCGCCTTCTTTCGTATTGTAATGCGCCCCCCCCCCCCCCCCCCCTCATTTCGGAACCTTTTTGTTTACCCTTTCCGTAAATTAGATTTTCTGCACACTGATTTTCCTTTGAATAAACTCTGTCGCTCGAGTCCAAATTTCAAACATTACATTCTATTTTTAAAATGTCTTTTGTATTATTTTAAATTGGTTCGTGTATTTTAAATTTCCTATACAAAATTAAATTTCTAATTTCAAACTAAAGAAGTAACGAAAAAATAAAGAAGTTCTTATTTTAAATTCTTAAAGACTGACTTATTTCGAAGGACTGACTTATCGTTATCTTTTGTGCGTTTCGATTAACCGTATGTAACGTAGTGTTCTATTGTTAATATAACTTCTATTAAGTGAATAGTAAAGATCATTATGATAAGTTTTATAGTACCTTGTCCCTATCATAAACAATCAACTTTGTAACCCAGTAAAATCCCCTCCCACTAGCGCCACCATATAACCAACAAAGACACTCATACTAATGAATCAGGGATAAAATGAAAACGAAAACAACACTCGATCAAAAACTACCAGTATAGGGTCGTCAACATATATAAAACCTATCATAAGTTTCCGAAGTTCATTAAATTCACTAGCCAATTAGGATGAAGTAAAAATGTATTCGTTCCTTAGTTGATATTTCGTCTTTTAAAATCCTAAACAAAGTAGTTTTATTCTAGAATTTTCATATTATCTGTGCAAATTTTCAGAAATTTCTTCTTTGAATGTTATTTTAACGATATCATATTAACAAACCGCATTTAGTTGTAATATCTTTGTTCAAATGAATATTTTTGTCGAAAAACCATCATGTAATCATGAGTTTTTCATGAATTTTCAAACAATTTTAATTAATAGGTAGGTATGTGTTTATAAAATTTACATTTAGTGTTATCTTTACGCTATAATTTATACGCCAGGTACTAGAATTTATTATAATTAATGTTATTTAAAATTTAAAGTCTACCTAATTGAGAAAGTCTAGTAAAACTTTTATTATAAGCCAACCCTTCCAACCGCCCCATCGACTGACCACCACAATCAGTTGCGATAGAGTGGCAACCCTACATTGTTGGCGATACAGATTGAAGAGGCCCCGGACGTCTATAGATGTAAATGGGAGCGGCTAATGGCGGCCCACGTCCGCATTCGCGCGCTTTTTTTATTTGAAATACAGAACGTCCCTTTGTTGACTATGTTCCGGATCCATTGCGAATAGGCGCTTTCGATTCTAGTACATACATACTGACCAGTCTGTTCTTTTTAGTCAATGTATAGGTATACTGTTGTTTTGTCATACGCCAGACGGTTTTGTATTCGCGTTCAGTTGAAAATCGAACAGGTATCACGTGTATAATATTATTCTAAATTTAAATTTATTTTAAATAATAATAATAATGTCATTGATTAACTCATGCGTGAAGATAATGAATGCTTCCAGGTTTGAATCTTTTCTGAATTTAATTTTGACCAGTTGCTTTGATTTAGAAAATGATTAGTATATAGTTTGGATTTATATTTTTTATATAGTTTTAATATAAAACTAATATATATTTTATTAATCTCATAAGACACGTCTAATATTGAAGTTTTAACTAGAAATAAATTTCCAAGAAAAACAAATGTACCCTGCAAATAATACAATGCATAAGTACATATAAATTTAAACAGTACCTGTATGTATGCAAGCACTCATTCGGATTGAAATCATTCACAAAGTACCTCGAAATCGGCAACTGCAGTGGCATTGTGTGCCCACCCCAGCCAGACAAACGGAAATATGAAAACACAAATGGAAAAACGCATCAGACATATACGTTTTTTATGTATCTTTCTACGCGCCGAACGGGACTGGCTGGACAAAAAGTGAACACAAAACGAACGCTTAATTCGCAAAAAGCCCGTTTGATGTCGCTAATTGACAATCAGCCAGGGACGCGTCTCATTGGCCCGTTTCCTCGTTCCGTTTTTAAAAATTAAAAACAAATAAATTACCGAGGCGCCATCGCTGTTAGAAATGTCCGGTATATATAACATTTTAAATGCATTCCATTTTTAAATACTTGAAAGGAAATTCTTTAATATAATTTTCTTTTATTGACTGAATATTAATGTGAATGTTTCTTTTTTTTTTGCATAAGTATTAAATCAAATTTCAAGCTTATCGTCATTTTAATTTCTTTGATTAATCTTTTTTCATTATGCCATTAAATAATCGGTTTTGACAATGGTACTTACCATTAAATAAACTAAAATGAATAAAAAGTTAATTAAACGTGTTTAGATAAGTGTGTCATGGTTTTGATTTAATACACAATTTTATTAATTAATGACATTTAATCTATAATTATCAAAAATTTAGTAAGCTTTCAAAATATTATTTTTTATAACACTTTAGAATATCGACAAAAACTAAAATATAATTAAAGTTGCGTCTCTGCTAATCGAATTTCATGAAGCGCTGGCCGTTTACCCGCGATTTCGCCCATTTAATTATAGTCTATGTTACTCGTACACCTTCCCGTAACCGAAAGAGTTTTTAAAATCGGTCCTATTAGTTTCAATGCAAACAAATAATCGAATATTTACTCTTTAAGGTGCTCTGGGGTAATCAGGAACGCGGGGAAATTCCGAATGAGATATTTAACAAGCATTACGTTTGTTTTATCTAATTTAAAGTTTTATTTATTCATCTACAGAAGTTTGTTTATTTTTACCAACAGTTGATAACATTCAACATGGTGGTAATTCGTCTTTTTCGGAATTCTCCGCTTTCGTTATTACCCTAAAGCACTACATATGAGCAAACATTTGCATTTCCATGCAGACTTGTGTACATATCTTTTTATCTTTATTTTATGTTCTTTTTTCCATTTATAAATAAAAGAACACACTTTTAAACGGTTTCATCGCGTTTGTATTTATGTAACATGATCTCTTATATTTTCACACGCACTATCCATATAGTATAATATAATTTGTATAATTATTACTGGCAACACATATACTCGTATTATGTTATACAATTCCTTTTTTCAAATGTAGGTAAGAAATATTATTATATTAACATACCTATATGTAATATCAGGAAGATCGATGGCGTAGTGGTCATCCACTACGCCATCGAGCTTCCTGATATGCACCGCGGCCCGCGGTCGTTATTGTTAAGCAAGTTTCGGTCACGGGATGGGTGACCAAAGAATTATTATACGGAGCTACTCCGTGCTTCGGAAGGCACGTTAAGCCGTTGGTTATGGCTGCATTTACAGTGATTGATACTCTCCAATCCGCATTGGGCCAGCGTGGAGAGTCATGGTCCATCGCCCATACCATCTCTAAGGAAGGCTTGAGCCCCTGCAGTGGGGATGTACAAGGGCTGATGATGATGATAGGTAATGTGGTAGTTCACTTCTGGTTTCTTAGTTCTTTACCTAAATGATAAAGCAGTTCGTCAGGATATATTAAATTTATTTTAGTTTGTACACGCAACAGTTAAGTTACCATTGTATATTAAATTTTGTTTTAACTCCACTCCTAATGCGTTAAGGTTTTAAAGCATGTGAAACAATTTTACAGATTTTTATAACCTGACATGCTGTAGACTGTACAAAAGACTAGGAAGCCACTATTTTCCGATTTTAAACTGTGGAAATATTTTTTTTGTAAAAAAATAAAAATGTCATTTCCACTAAATCGTCCGCCTGCAAAAAAAATGCATGGTGTCAACATGAGCTCGAACAGCAAAGCTTTTTAAATAATATAAAAAAAAACAGTGATAAGTATGTTATGACACATCAGGGGCAAACTCGTGTCAGACCAATTAGTTACTGAAAGGAGGACCAAAGTACCGACCGGCGGGCAGGCTGACAAGCTTTTTGATTAAATTTTATGAAAAGGTCACGGGTGTGACGTCACTCTTTAAACTTCGATAGAACTCTAAAAATTTTAGTGGCAGGTTAATTTCCATTGAAGTGAGATGTGTTTTTAAGAGGACGGCGCCACGTAAATTATTTATGTTGGATGTAGTTTGAAATCTTTTTTGAAGTGGTGTTATTGCACTTTATTCACTCGTGCAGTAAAACCTCTTCGGCGGATGACCTCCGTGTTTGAATGGGTAATAAAATTTGAAATGTATTGTTTAAATTAAAAGAGGAGACGAGTGTAATCGACGAATTCCAGAGCTCAACATTAGACCTGACAATTATCAGGCATTGATTATGGCTGGG